GCTGAATCTTGTAATCATTAGTGTAGTTTTGTTGCTTATTTATGTTGTCTAATTTATTAAATATGAACTTTTTGACTGGTTAAGTGTGTTCATTAATTGTTTCTAACTTTTAATTATTTTTATTCTTTTACTAATACTACTTATATTCATGCATAAAGGGTATTTATAGAGTAAAAGTTTCATCTCTCTCTTTAAAGTACTTTTTAATGTTATTTTTTCTAATTGGACTAACTTTGTTATCAAAATCTTAACCTCAATGAAGGTTTGTGTAATTTTACAAATTTTAGGGGAGGTGCGTGAAATTGTTGAAATTATCCCCAAAAAAACTGTAGACTGGATACGTTTTGCTTGAAGTATTGGCAACTAATCGTATGCACGGACTAAACATGAGAGACTAAAACTACAATTCTGAGAATTATTAGCTAGGAAGGTTTTTGTCCTTGAATCAAACAAGCTTGCATGGCTGTGATGTTTCAATTGCTGCCCCTCTATTAGCTGGAAAATGTACAAAGCAAGCGAAGAATCTTGGAAGCATTATCTTCAGAAAAGGAGAGAACTTCTTATCACACATTCATCCCTCCTTGCCTAAGCAAACAGGCCAATTAAGACACAAACTTGCACAATCTGGAGGCAACAAAATTGGAATAGTTTCTACCATAGGCAACCTGGACAACAAACTTCCAACATCAAACGTAAAAACCCAAATAAAATATCAAATGACACTCATATATATAACGTAGAAATTGTTGGTATTTCATCAACAAGAGAATTACAGATTTCTATACATCTGATACAATTGAAAGCTAAAGCACAAAAGATATAGTTTTTTTTTTTTTTTGTTGTAGATATGGCGATGAGACCTGCAAGAGGTGGGGTGGGACCTTCTATTCGTCCTCGTCTGAGGCCTGTTGTCCAAAATTTTTACGAAGATTTTAAACCCATGTCGGAATGGCGGCAAGATGAAGAGTCAGATATTTTGTTGCTTTTTCTTCCAGGTATGTCATCGACAATTGGACAAGGTGTCCAATCTCCATTGTGGTCAGCTTTATAAATTTGTTCTCTCTTTTAGTTTTTTGGTAAATTATTTATGCACTCATAGTACTAGCGGATTTAGATGCATGTCATATATATATATAATTTGATATTTAAATTCAAAGTAAAATAATGTGACATGCATTTAGATCCGTTAGTACATACATAAACAGTGTAATAAATATTAATTCTTAGTTTTTAGTTTTTTTTTATAGATATAAGTTTTATTTAATGCTAGCATCTTCTTTCCAAGAATGAATCTTGTACATGACCTTTCCTTTTCCAGATTAACTTTACTTCTTTTTATTTTTATTTTTTGTATTGCTTATTTTGCTTCTTAGAGCTTTTGATAAAAGCAGAACCACGTGATAATGCAAAACTTTTATACACATACTCTGAAAACTTGAAAATTTTGAATAAAAGCACATAAATTTTGGTATGCATATCCCCTTTATTGAATGCCCTATTTGACTTCTTTGTTGTGAAGCGTTCTTCACTTTTTCCTTCCTTTATTCGTTTGCAGCTTTTAAAAGGATGCAACATAGGCTAGGAAACTTTTTATGATATATTAGTATATGAAACTTAAGCTGATTAAAGAAATAGAGTAAAAGTCCACAAAATTTTTCTTTAGAAAATCAATACTTTGATACATGAAATGCCAATGAACACAGTGAAAGTCTTATTAAATATATTGAACATTTTGAATGTAATGAAATGCATCCATTAACTAGCAGATTGAAGTTTGTTTTGCAACTCAACCTGTAAATATTTTGGTTGCAATGTTCTAGATTCATAAGTAACATTGGGATTTATTTGCTTTTAAACTGCCTATTTCTTAGTACAGCGCAAATAAAAGATTAAATTACATAAGATTGGGAAACCAAAATATTATTTGAGTTCAATCATGGGATAGCAGAGATTAGTTAATTGCTAATATACATGTATTGTTCCTATTATACATACCACCGTAATCTTTCACCCGTAATCTCTTGTTTTCTTTCCATTTTTTTTTGAAAACTTGTATTTCTTTGTATTAGTTAACAAAAATCAAGAATGAAGTAGTCCATCTTCTTGCAAAAAGAATTACAGAATAATGAAACAATAATTAAAAGAATTAGAGAATAAAAACAGAAAAGAACCAGAGAAAGAAAGAAGAAGATAGAGCTACCCTTCACTATGAAAGCCTTTTTTTCCAGGTTTTATGAATCAGCACCTTAAGGTTTCAACTGAAGGCAGAAATATTGTCAGAGTCCGTGGGGAACGATTAGTTGCCGGGAACAAATGGAGCCGATTCCAAGAAGATTATCAAGTTCCAGATCGTTGTACTATCAGGGCTATTCGTGCAAAGTTTGACGGAGGAATTTTAACGATGACAATGCCCTGGAGGAAAGACGCAGCAGCCAAAGCAACTCCTCCAAAAGCTACATCTGGCCTGGACAGCACTACTGATCAAATGCAACAGATCAGTCCTCCAAAAGCACCAATCGAGCCAAGTTCAAAAAAAAGTGCTGATGAAATCCCTCCAAAAGTAATCGATCCACCATCCAGGCCTCAGAAGGCTGCAGCTGAAATTCATCCAAAAGTACTCGATCCACCATCCAGGCCTCAGACGGCTGCTGCTGAAATTCGTCCAAAAGGACTCGATCAACCATCCAAGCCTCAGAAGGCTGCTGCTGAAATTCATCCAAAAGGACTCGATTCACCATCCAGGCCTCAGAAGGCTATTGATGAAATTCAACCAAAAGTACTCGCTCCACCATCAGTTACAGCTGACAAAGGAAGCAAAGATATTGATGAGAAACTGTTGAGCCAACCACAAACTCAAAAGGGTCGTCAAGATGAACAAGCTAGAAGCCCAGGGGCAATAAAGCCCGTGACAACATCAATGACAATTTCCAGTGATGATGATGAAAAGAAGGAGACGATCACCCCTAAAACCAACGCCAAGCCAATGAAACCTGAATATATTGAGAATTTGAAAGAAGTGAGTGATGGTAAAAGAAGTACTGAGAAGAGTAAGGAACCTTTAGATACACTAGCCGGAAATCTCACAAGGAAAATTATTGAGGTGAAAGAGAAGCAAAGCCAGACTGCAGTTGCTTCGAGCAGCAAGGATTATGGACTGGGAAATTTCAAGAAAGCAGTTACAAGCCTTGCTGAGCCAAACGAGGAGAGACAATTGTTGGTAAACATTGTTGTTGCAGTGCTGGTTATAGTGGCAGTAGGGGCACACATTGCCTCTAGAATTGGATCAGAAGAAGCTTAACAGTTTCCAGGTGTCTTAAGTTTGTCTTCAGTGTATATGAAATAGTACAATGTACAGAACTGCAAATATAATTGGACAGATGGTCCAAGTGGCAAATTTACGTAATCAATTGGTTGTGTTTTCTATAGTAAAGCTGTTTCTGTGAAGTTTCTATTTTTTTTTTCTTTCATTCCTTGTTTCTTCTATACATAAGTTCCCATGTGTTTTTGAAGCCTCTAGTTATGATGACCTTATGCATATGCAAGATATGCATATTGGTATATAAATATATACCAAAAAAAAAAAAGGCCCTATTTAGCGCTTTAGATTTCCAGTAAAATTTCCATAGTTATTCCATGTGAAATACCAACATAAAATTTCTTTCTCTCTCAAAAAATAAGTAAATGAATGAATAAAAGGTGAAATCTCTCTCAAGAGAATTTCCTGCTTTTTAAGGTTTAAAAATGTATTCTAGCTTACCCTTCTATTTTTGGAATTATATTAGGTTTTTTCTTTTCCCTTTTGGTCGCAAAATATATAGTTGTTCATCTCTTTATATGTATATAGCTTGCCAGTACAATTTGTAAACGAAATTGTTACGGATTCAAGGGCCAAATTTATACCCAATGACTTTGTTTAATTCTTTTTTCTCAACCGCTTAGCTAATTGTTCTCAAACTTCGAAGAGTCCGTAGTGAACTTATAATCATATTTTCTAAGTAATTTTTAGCTTAGATAGTTATCCGTATCATTCGGAATGTGATCATCCAGTACAATTTCGAAGTAGTGGGAAAGGAGCACTATACATGTCTGCCAATTAAAAGAAAAGATTGACAGGAAAAGGTTGGAGTTTTTAACTTAATTTTTTTTTTTTTTTGGTGAAACGACACTTGTTTACCCTACACCTACCTCAACTCATATTCTAACCTATTCTAAGGAAGAGGGCCCAACTGAGCCTACTGAAAAATCGACGGAGATTGAATCAATATCGGACCACTTGAACCCACTTAAAGTGGCAAGCCGCATATAATGCCAATTGGTAGGAGGCAGGGTCTGAACCCTTGAACTCCCACTCCACCAAGTCTTAAAGGCTATGGTGGTGGCCAACAGCCATTTGTGTTTCTGACTTTCTTTTGGGTGTTATTATTTCATGTTTTAACGAGGGCAAAATTGAGAATCTAAAAAAATTATATATAGTTAACACCAAAACCCCTCACTCCAACATTTTACATAACATAGATATAAATATGTAATTCATATCAAACATCAAATGACATATGTTCTTGGCGAGCAAATAAGAAGGTAAGCAAGAAACACCACTTTTACAGAAAAACATCTTCTATATCAGGAGACTTCTAGCACTCTTCTATGAAGTTTCAGCTTGTAATTTTTCCTAAACGATGAACAAGTTTTTTAAACAATTTCAAAATTTTCATAAATAATTTGTACAATCTCATAAAAGCGATGTTAAAACTCAGTATTGTTCATTTGCAACATTACATATCAACTGTGTCAGAGTTACATGGTACTATTAGAATTGTTTATTTTGAATTTTTCTTTGATTGGCCAAATTTTGGCCTTTAAAAGCTAGATTCTAGCAATCATCCCTGCCCATGAATCCATGATTAGGGATACGCTTGGAAGCTAGAGAAGTTCCAAGCGCTTGGACCGGGACTTTCAATGGTATTCAAACATTATCCATTTATAACACTAATGGCGGCAAATGATGGCATCTGCCCACCCATTGCCTCCGCCACTCTTTCACACCCTTCAAACAGCCTTTTCCCCAAATTCAGCAACAAAGGCGTGAATATCTTACACTTAAATGACTCCCCATCTCCTAGCGTCCTCAACCACGCCTTTATCCTACTCCCTCCCATCTTTTCCCTCACAACGCACGCACTACATTCCCTCTCATGTATACAAACACCCCACTGCAATCCTTCTCGAGCTCTGCACTTCCATGAAAGAGCTCCAACAATTCCTCCCACTGATCATAAAAAACGGCCTCTACAAGGAGCATCTTTTCCAGACTAAGCTCATTAGTTTGTTCTGTAAATTCGGTAGCCTAACCGATGCTGTGAACGTGTTTGAACTGGTAGAAGATAAAGTTGATCCTATGTATCATACCATGCTCAAAGGGCATGTTCATCATTCGTCCTTGGCTTCGGCTTTGTGGTTTTATAGTGGGATGATAAGTGATGGGGTTTTGCCGGTTGTTTATAATTTTAGTTACTTGCTTAAGTCTTGTGCTGATAATTTTAATGTTAAGGCGGGGAAAATGATTCACGGGCAGCTGATTGTTAATGGGTTTTCGAGAAATGTGTTTGCGATGACGAGTGTTGTTAATATGTATGCGAAATGTGGGGTCATTGAAGATGCTTATAAGATGTTTGACAGAATGCCTGAAAGGGATTTGGTTTGCTGGAACACTGTTATGGCTGGGTATGCGCAGAATGGGATGTTGAAGAGGGCTATGGAATTATTTTTGCAGATGCAAGAGGTGGAGGGACATAGGCCTGATGAGGTTACTGTTGTCTCTATCCTGCCTGCTTGTGCTAATTTTGGGTCTTTGAAGATGGGGATGTCGATTCATGGGTATGTGACAAAGAGTGGACTTGAGTCGTTTGTGAATGTTGAGACTGCTTTGGTTGATATGTATGCAAAATGTGGCCAAGTAGGGACTGCACGTTTGGTTTTTGATAGGATGACTTACAAGACTGTTGTCTCGTGGAACACTATGATCGATGGATATGCGCAGAGTGGAAACTCTGAAGAGGCCTTGAAACTTTTTGATGGAATGTTGGATGAAAAGTTGAGACCGAGTAATGTTACTGTTATGGCTGCTTTAACTGCATGTGCTGATTTGGGTGACCTTCATCGTGGACAGGAAATTCATGCGTTGATTAACCAATTGGAACTTGGTTCTGCTGTTTCAGTAATTAACTCTTTGATTTCCATGTACTGCAAATGCAAACGAATTGATATTGCTACTGAATTATTTGAAAAGTTACAAGGAAAAACTATTGTTTCATGGAATGCTATTATTTTAGGTTACGCACAAAATGGGCATGTGATCAAAGCTTTGAGTCTCTTCTCTGACATGCAAATGCAGAATGTAAAAGCTGATTCATTTACAATGGTGAGTGTAATTACTGCTCTTGCTGAGCTATCAGTATTACGCCAAGCAAAGTGGATTCATGGACTTGCTATAAGAAACTATTCAGACAGGAACATTTTTGTTATGACTGCTCTTGTGGACATGTATGCAAAATGTGGAGCTGTTCACACAGCAAGGAAGCTATTTGATATGACGGATGATAAGCATGTAACTACATGGAATGCTATGATAGATGGGTATGGGACCCATGGGTTTGGAAAGGAAGCTGTAGAATTGTTTGATGAAATGCAAAAAGGACATACAAAACCAAACCAGGTGACATTTTTATCTATTATATCAGCTTGCAGCCACTCAGGCTTTATAGAGAAGGGGCGGCAATATTTTACCATCATGACGGAAGAATATGGCTTAGAGCCCTCCATGGATCATTATGGAGCCATGGTTGACCTGCTTGGTCGAGCTGGGATGCTTGATGAGGCTTGGGGCTTCATTCAATGCATGCCAGTTAAGCCAGAAATCAATGTCTATGGAGCCATGTTGGGGGCTTGCAAGATTCATAGAAATGTAGATTTCGGTGAGATGGCAGCAGAGAAACTCTTTGAGTTAGGCCCGGATGATGGAGGATACCATGTATTACTGGCTAATGTATATGCTACAGCTTCAATGTGGGACAAAGTGGCCAAGGTGAGAAGTTTGATGGAGAAGACGGGGATTCAGAAAACCCCCGGGTGCACTTTGGTGGATCTGAAGAATGAGGTTCATAGTTTCTACTCTGGGAGCATTAATCATCCACAATCCAAAAGAATCTACTCTTACCTTGAAAAATTGATGGATAAGATTAAAGCAGCTGGCTATGTTCCTGATACTAATTCTATTCATGATGTGGAGGATGACGTCCAGGAGCAGTTGCTCAATAGCCACAGTGAGAAGCTTGCTATTGCTTTTGCACTCCTAAATACAAGTCCTGGTACACCAATCCATATCAGAAAGAATCTTCGAGTATGTGGTGACTGTCACAGTGCAACGAAATACATCTCTCTTGTAACCAAAAGGGCAATTATTGTACGTGATATGCGTAGGTTCCACCATTTCAAGGATGGAACCTGTTCTTGTGGGGATTATTGGTGATCTGCCCTAACAGTTAGAGCTCAAATCCTGTTAATATGGGGACCTTCATGGTCAAGACGAGAGATTTATGACGAAACATTTTTACCATTTTTACAAGGAGACCCATAAAGGTGAGGACTGGGCCCCTCAACTGCTGGAAGTACATAGTGTGAACAACTTTTACGTTCAAAGGCTGCCCTCTAATTCCATGACAATTAATATCGTACAGGTTGCTGAGATTATTTCTTCTCCTTACTCGTATACTTGTCAGGTAGCATTCTTGATCTACTCGTGTAATCAAAAACAAAGAAAAAATTCTTGCATCATGGCATCAGCATATTGGAAGATTGAGTTGGGGTGAGGCAGAATTCTGCATCAACAGTCCTACTAGCTAGAAAGCTAGCTAACCTTTCTGAACATGTTCAGTTATGGTTGTTGTAGTTAGTTCATTGTATATGTCTATATAATTTGAACTGCTAAAGCAAAGCCCTAGGTTAAGATGTACTTATATCTGATCTACGTTGAAACAGTTTCTTGTGAAGAATATCACACATAATATGCAATTGTGTGAGCCATACTTGGGCCTGTTCACTGTTGCTTATTGGTACTAGGATCTAGGTCTGGTGTTACATTACTCAACTGACCCAAGCTAGGAGTTTCTGTGTACAGCACCAAACTTACTGAGAAATAGACATTGCTTGACCCTGTCTTTGCGATGCTTAGGAGTATCCCTTCATCGGTATATCTGGGAGCTAGTGTGAATGTCTTGGTTGTACACGCTTCTTGTTTTCCATTACATGGCATTTGTTACTCCCATTCCTGTTAAATTTTGTCACGTTGTTAAATTTGATGGCTTCAAGAACTTGATTCGTGGTTTGAGGACTTCTCACTACTAGTTTGATCCGCTTAATCTTTGTCCTTATTCCTAATTATTCTTCTTGAATCGTGCTCTGATAACTGCTGAACAGGGCATGCTAATTTTGTTTGCGTAAAAGAGTTTATTTAGTTTCAAAAACAAAATAGTAAGCAACTGTATTGCAGTTTGGTACCCCAAGCGTTGGACTTACAACTATAATCCTGGTTATTTCACAAAATATTTCCATATTTTTGTTAGTTAAGAGTGTGTGTGTGTACAATATAATTTGTCTTTTGAAAGTAAAGGAAACTTATTTTATTTAAGTTTCAAATCAAACACCGAGTTTATACTGAAGATAATTTTGGCAGATTGAATTCTTAGCTGGATTTTCCTGGAAATCAAACTTTTTGGCTCGTCAAAACAATAGGAAAAATAGGCTAGTTATAATTGTTGGTCATACAATTCCTTAGGATAGACAAATGAGGCTTACCTCATAGAGTAATTAGATGAGGACAACTATGGTCACATATCTCCACGGTAATTGATGGAGGAATTTGTAACAATCGACCTAATGTATACATGATTTTTTGGGACTTGGATGGAAGATTTTCTTTGACTACTTTGTTAGTTCTCTTTAGTACTCGAAAGAAAGTAGAAACAACTTAAAGGAGTGTACCAAGAGAAACATGGCATTTGCACTAAATAGTTTAATGTGAATTAAAATATGTGACAAAATCTATGGGGAGTGAAGTTATCTCAGTCGTGTAGGAGAGTACCACACTTGGGATTCAAGTCTATAAGACCTGGATACTTTATGCTAAAACTTTTCAAAATGGCAACGACTGTAAACCTAAAGGTGAAAAAATTGCTCATTGATTGCACCAACTAAAATTCTTGGATTGCTCTGCCAATTACATATTTGGCCAAAATTTATTTATTTGTGTCACAAACATATTTTTCAATAGAACTTTTTATTTTCTCAGTCACCTTTTTATTTCACGTACATTATATCATAAAAAGTACTACAGTAACTATTTCAAATAATCTCATTCCCAAACACACCTATAATCCCCCAAGAACTGCACACTAATATATGCTTGAAGATGAATTTGACTAGTGTATTGTGGAGAACTTCAGAAAAAAGGAGGAGCAATTTTAAATGTTTTAATAATAAAGCGTCTAATTGATAAGACATTTAACTAGTAAATGAGAGGTCACAGGCTCAAATCATAAAGAGTTAAGTGATAGACCACTGATAATCATCTTTTAAAGAAAGAAAAGAAAGATAAAGAAGGGGAAAAAAGAGCACTTGAGACTTAGGCAGAAGTAATCATCAACACAGGAGGTACATAGTGCATGAAATCGGAAGCCAACAAAATAAATAAAAAAAATCCCAATGATGACAATTTTTTTTGAGATAAAAAGAGAATTTTCATTACTAAAATTGTTGGAAAGCTCTGTAGAGTGCATAAGTTGAATGATTTCCAATGCATTTTTATACTATATAAGAGCGAGTTGTGGTCAAAAGAGGTTTTGAATTTCAACCGCATGGATAGGGGTTTTTTGGAAATGTGAAATGTTGAGTAGTTTTTTTAAATCTTTTGATACAACTGAGGACTGCATGTGTTTGGGCATGTTTACCGAAATGTCCTCATTTTGATAATTTAAAGCTTTGATTTATGGAGACAACTGGGTATTTGTAGAATGTGTAATTATTTTGCAATCGTTTTTGCATAGAGTACAACTCATATAAACTTATGTGTTGGTGTAATTACTGAAATGGTGTTATAGACACATTTAATTGAAGTGTAGCTTCTAAGACAAGGATAACCGTTTGAGGATATTCCTTTATTTGAAACAACTTATGTCTCATCACTTGCGCAACTCCTAGAGATGTTAAAGCCCAGGTTGGAAACAACCCATTTCTTTGCCATTTGCATCTCAATTAATTAACAGCCATAAACATGGGTATGTTAATGAATTAATGTCTGAGCATCGGTTATGGTTGTTCCAATGCCTCCTCTTTCACATTCTTCAGTTTCTCCCCTTTCAGCATCCATGATTGGTTTTTTTTTTTTTGGCTGCCTTTATACTTAGCATTCAAGAAAATTCCTTGTTTGGATTGCGAGTTTTCGTAGGAAAATTTTCTCAATACATTTTGTAATCACTATTTTTCTCACATTGTTACACTATATTTTTCTATAAAAACTCCAAAAAATTGCAATCCAAATGGGTAGATTTTGTGATTTTGTCGAGTGCAACATCCTGAACTTTGTAAGTTATATGTTTTGTTATTTTGATTGATGAATTAGGCTTTGGAGGCTATCAGTACCAGCTGGGGAGACTACTGACCATCCACTAATAAACCCCTTTGGACCCTTAAGCCCCAGCCTGGAAACAGCTGATCTTGATCCCATCCTAGTCCTCTTCATTAGTTAAATGGGGGATGAGTAGGTTCTTTGCTATGAAGATAACTTCCCTTGCAACCAATATAAATAAACTATGACGAGAGAATTAATATTAAATAAGCTAAAGATTGTGGCAACCAACGTATCAAACTCCCTTGTGGTATTGTTGAAAGACACCATAGCCCCTCATTTTTTAAAAATTTCGATATAACTCTCTTATACTTTTAACTAAAGTGGAATGGTGATTCCTTCCTTATAAACAAGATTATAATTTATTTATGCTTTATAATTTCTTTCCTTTTTTGTCCTTTTTTTAGTTAGGAAAATCATTTCTTTCCCCTTCCTTCCTTCGAAACACCACCCTTCTTTCTTTTTTGGGAGAATTGTAATTTTGGTCCCCAATCTATAGTGTATGCGCGGAATTAGTTCCCAATCTATTTCGAAAATCAATTTTGGTTCCCAATCTATTCAATTTTGCGCTAAAAGTGGACAATTGACGGAATTTCTTCAATTTCAACCAGAACCAAGTCACGTGAGATCACGTGCCGGCACCTAAAACCCCTTTTTCAATTTTTAAATTTCTGAAACACGTTTTTTAATATTTTCAGCTTTCTCTTGCCTTTTGTCTTATTAAACAAAGACATGAAAGGCTAAAATTCACTAATCAAAGGAGTTACTAATCATGTGTAGAAATAAATCACAAAATAAAGTAGGACAACGACGTCCTCTACTTCCTTCTTTCCTCATCTTCTTTCTTCCAACTCAAGAACAAACCCTAGGAGCCACAATCCCATTCTAATCAGACAAAAAAACTCCTCATTCTGGCAAAAAGTTGCAAGATCTAGGCAAAAACCTTGTATTGAGTTTCTTCTATTTTCAATTTAGCTCCTCATGGAACCAATGAAAAATTGCGACTGCAAGCAACGAGCAATAATGGTTACTTCTTGGACAGACAACAATCTTGGGAGAAGATATTTCGCTTGTGCAATCAAGAAGGTATGGTTGTCTCTGTTTCTGATTTCGACTTTTCTGTCTCTGTTTCTGAGTTTTGTGCTAAAGCTTTATGATGTTGGCTATGAAGGGTGACAGAGGAAAATGATGCGATTATTTTGAATGGCATGATCCAAAAATGTGTAGAAGGTCAACAGCCCTGATTCCTGGACTACTATGGAGCATGAATTCTAAGAATGCTACAATTGAGAGGCTAAGAGCAAGGGAAAGAAAATTATTGTTAGCAATTTTCTTGTTGGTACTTCTGTTGGTTAATGTGTTACTGGTGTAAAAGGCAGAAGGCTGGACAATCTTGGTATCAACTGGTGAAAGGAAAATGTGTTAAGTATTAGGCTAAGTTAGGTACTGTCTAAACTTAGAGATGAAAGACATTCATCCGGATTCTTTGGTCTTTTTTGTTGAAATGGGTGAATGTGTGAGGACTCGTATTTTATTTTATTTTATTTATTTATTTTAGCGATTTATTCACTTATTTATTAGTTTACCCTAAAATAGTTATTTTCATGATTAATTACCCAAGTGTTAGTTAGTTATACTATCGTTACAAGAATTTCTTAGAAATTTCACTTTATCGTGCACAAGTCGGAAGTTCGCGTTTTCGCGCCCGCGATTAATTGAGGGACTTTAGAAAATTATTGTTAGACTACTAAGAGTGAATAATAATAGTGTTAAAGAAAGTGCATTAGAGGTTTAGTGCACCAGTGAAACAAACCCGAGAGGAATCGGGCATGAAACGCGCGCATATACGCACTATTGAGAGTTGACTTTTGTGTAAAATTTGAACTACAACTACCAAGCTTCCATGAGAAGCTTCCTTCATCAGATTTCACACTCTCTCTCCTTACCCTTGCTGGCCGAAAACTCCAAGGAGGAAGAAGACCAAAACCCTTCATCATCTCACTTCATTTTCTTGCACCTTTTCACTCCAAATTCACTACACAAACTCACAACAACTTGGAGACTCATTTGGACTAGGAAGAGAGCATCATTTCCATGATTTTCTTGGAGCTCTTGGTGGCCGAAATTTCTGAGTTTCATCAACCAAGAGATAGTAAATCATCCAACATTTGAAACTTGATTCTAGTGAGTTAGATTTCACTTGGAAGCTTGTAGCTTCATGTGGGTATCTTTATTTTGTTGGAAATCATTTGAATGGGCTTTATGAAATCTCACAATGGACATGTTGGACTGATGTGATGATTTTGGGTGTTATTTATATTGATTAAGTGTTAAACTAGTGGATATAAGTTAAAAAAGTGAAAAGAAAATCAAAGGAAAGCTTGCATGAGAAAGGGCCGAATTCTGCCCTGTTTTTACAGAGCACTTGGTGCGATTTTTTTTGTGGTCAAATGACCTTGAATTTGTTTTAGATATATTGTTTTGGTTGTGTGGAAAGTTTCCACAAAAAATTACTTGATTTGGTTAAGAAAAAGTTGAGTTTTGGA